ATTACAATATCATAACGGAACATGGCCTGGGGTACTCACGTTTGAAGTGGAGGGATCAAAATTCGTGGTATTTCACTAAATGGGAGCCCCATTTGCGCCCCATTTACTGTCAAATATAACACTAACAAGCGGGAAATTTCGCACCTGCGCTGGAGAGTTCGAGAACCTTCTAGGTTACCTGGAGGAAACTATATAAGCAGCGACGAGAACCAGAGTTGACGGTAATTTTGAAGTTAGTTTGTTCCTGTTCCGTGGTTAAAGTTATACCGAGCGGAATAAAAGTTGGAAGCTGAAGAAAGAGCTTGAAACCCGGCCATCCACGGTACAATATTAATAAAGCACCCGGGCGATGCACGGCCGATTAATCGCCTAAATATTCCCGCATGTCTCATTGCGGCTAATGGCCTAAATTATACCCCCCAGCACACTGACGTTAAATTACCAGATCGCATCCTCCACATGCGACTGTTTCGTTCTTTGGAACCGTGCTGCTATGTTGAGAGCGCTTGACTGATCAGTATTCATCTGCTTAGGTGTCGTTAGCGCAGCTGCTAGCGACCCACGTACCAACAGTATGGGCAATCGATCAGTACCGAATCTACAAAGACGTGCTGGAACGTTCTTGGGAGGTGGTGGACAGCGTCAATGTCAGCCTGCGGCTCTGGGACACATTCGGCGACCACGAAAAGGACCGGCGCTTCGCCTACGGACGCTCGGACGTGGTGGGTAAACCGGACGGTCGTCCCGGGTGGGTTAAACACCATGCTTTGTTAGGTTTTGCTATGCTTCAGCATCAACAACCCCATATCGCTGCGCAACTGCCGCCTGATGTGGTTCCCAGAGATCCGTCGGTTCTGTCCCAGCACTCCAGTTCTGCTGGTCGGCTGCAAGAACGACCTGCGCTACATGTACCGAGACGAGGCGTACTTGTCGCACTTCCGGGACCGCAGCCCCTTTGTGAGGGCGACGCGCAAAAGCGATCTGGTGATGCCGGACGAGGCGCGGGACGTCGCCCGCGAGCTCGGCCTCTACTACTACGAGGCCTCCGTAAGTCTCCTGCTTCCAACGCTAAGTGTGCTTCAACGGGGCTTTTCAGGTTCTTACCTATTACGGAGTTAACGAAGTGTTTGAGAACGCGATCAGGGCCGCACTAATCGCACGGAGGGCTCAGCGGTTCTGGATGACGAATTTGAAAAAAGTCCAACGTCCCCTTTTCCAGGTAAAAAAAAAACGCCTCTGAGCTTGCTTTTTGAACTAGTCATCTTTCTCATCATCTAGATCTAGATAGCATTTGATATTCTATGAATATCAAATGAATATAATTTTGCTATGTGTGGATCCTTTCACAGCTCGGCTTTGTCTGTTTCAGGCGCCATTTAAGCCACCGCCGCCACTGAAGCCCGAAGTCCTCGAAGGCTCCAGCACTTTCACTGAGCAAATGGAACACATGTGGCTTGGTAGAGCACATACGGACATAGTCCTCGTAGTGGGGTCCATGGGATTCCCAGCGCATAGATTCGTACTTGCGGCTAGTAGTGGAGCGTTCTATCGTTTATTAACCGTTGATTTACTGGCACGTAGTACTAGTGATTCTAGCATGGTGAGTCCCGCTCAACACAACCTCTATGCTAAGTAACTGCGACCTTTCTTAGGTAAGTTCTTTGGGCGACTTCGCCGACGAAACCGAGTACTTGGTGAGGGCGGAACAGAAGACGTGCAAGAGAAGGGCCAGCTGTCAGGCTTTGCCAACAGCAAGAGAGTTGGACCATCCGGCGTTCCAGTGCATCAGAAGCGTCCAACCCGAAGGTCAGACGGTTGTAACTCTTTCGAAGTTGGTGACGCCCAGCGCAATGCAACAGTGCTTGCAGTTCGCCTACACTGGTACCGTGAATCGCAGCGCACTTAATTTACAGGTAATGTTTCCCAGTTTCCCACCTTCTACTGGAACAATGATTATTATTGTCGTTTCGGGCAGGAGACACGAGAAGCTGCGGAATTTCTCGAGCTGCCGCAGCTGTTAGTGTTACTAACAAGGCACCCGTTCGTCGCACCCGATCCTCCGGACGAAAACTACGAGAACTTCCTCAAGCGGCGATTCCAGGACGTTTGTCTAGACCAAGGGCTGTTTGCCGACGTGATTTTTGAGCTGGACGACGGAGTCTGCACGGCCCACAAGTCCATGTTGGCCGCCCGCTGCGATGTCATGAAGGCCATGTTTAGTGGCGATTTTCGCGAAAGTCAAGCCAAAGTGGTAGGCACAGACACTCTCTCTAAATCAGTTGCTTGGCATTCATCACTTCCTCGTTCAGATCGAGTTTCCTGGGGTGAGAGAGTACACTTTCCACAAGCTGCTATGCTTCATGTACACTGACGAGATCCCTGCAGTGTCAGCTTCAAGATGTGTGAACATTCTTGAGCTGGCCAACCGACTGTGTCTGCCTAGACTAGTCAATTTGGTTGAGACGAGAGTGATCGAGGATCTGGAGTGCCTGCTGCCGTCAGAGGCAATCGAACAATGTCTAAGACTTTTAGAGCCCGTTAAGGTACAGTTGCTCAGTTTATTCTTGCGCTCATTGCACGTCCTCATTGCCTTTCAGCTGCACAACGGACACCAGCTGGCAGACTGGTGTATGAACCATCTGTGCATCAACTATAACAAACTGTGTCGAATGTCTCCGCGAAATCTTCGGCTTCTTCATCCAGACAATCAGGCATATCTTGTTGAACATCGATGGCCTCCAGTATGGTATCTCAAGGATTACGACTACTATCAGAAATGTCTGGCCGAGCGCGACAAAGAATTGAAGCCGAATGAGAAGAACAGCTCTGGGTGTCTCTGCTTCTCACGCAAATCTGAGTCTGATCCTGCCCTCTCTTCAAGCAATCTTTGATATTATTAGGTTCCTTCAACGGTCAGGTGAGCCGGGTATGAACCACCGCGTTGTTGCAGGAAAATCACATATCAAAACGGATTGTTTTCTTTCGTAGGCCCTATTGGTTGCTGCTAGATGTAATATGATTTTTCCCAGATAATGCAAACTTTCATACCTGGTTCTCTACACTATTAATCATGTAATGATGTAATGTCTAGTGGATATTTTGTGCCCAATTAGTTGGTAGAAGAAAACAATTCTGGCTGGCATACGAGGCCGATAATGAATCTTTCTGCAAAGGATTACTTTATTTTTTCCACGCAAACTTTCGACATTAATCAAACCATTCAGGAACACGTTACTCTTTCATACATTGGAGTGCATGCATTCTTAGTTTCCTTTATTAAGGTCCACTCTGCACTAAGGTACAAATGTTACAAGTCAATTATCCTCCTCCTTGGCGAATTCACATAATTGTTGAGAATGAATGAAAGTCGCACTTTAGATGGTGACATCCAAGGACCAAGCAAATGTTCTCCACTCATTTTTAATTAGAATACAAGCTTTTTAGATAGGTGGATACGTTCCAGGTAGATGTTCAATTAATTAGTCACCGTAGCTTGATGAAAGGAAAATAAAGTAATCCGATGAATATGTGTCAGGTATCTATATCTACCTTTTGGACAACAAACAAACCTTTTTATAACATATACTTTAATAAATCACTTTATTCTAAGACTGGTTTTGATTAGCGCCGGGGGATTAAAAACGAGCTTCTGCAGCATAATATATGAATATTTCTATGCGGTGCCCGACCTTAATATACCAGCGGCTTTTGTGAATTAGTAAATTAGGTGCTTTTCGCGAAGCAGCTCATAATCATCAATTACCCCTAAAGTTACCTGATTATAACTGCAACTCGCTTTAATTGTCCTCGGTCAAGTATTCGGCATTCTCCACTGGTGAAGCAGCAGGACTAAAGCCACTGGCGATTTTCACTGGAACACAAGGGGAGCCCTAAGAGGCAAACACAGAGTAGCACAAAAACCCGTGAAACCGATGTTCATTGTTGCGCACTGTAAATGCTTCTGGTTTGCTTGCAAAATTAACAGAAAATGAACCCGAGAAACTCCAGAAACTGAACAATTCCGCCGCGATTTATACCGAATTGAAATGAAAAAAGTCAACCTGACATATCGGCGATTTTACATAACAAGTAAAGTTTTAAACGGTCAAATTTTATGGTTTTGAGGGAGTTTTCTGCTTTAACGGCTATTTTTTTGTAGGACTGAGAGCGGTCGTTGCTACTAGTATGAGTGCAAGCGAGACGACGCTGTTGGCAGCCTGAAATATAATACAGCTGTTTGGTTGATAAAATGAAACAATTTGACTATAAACAATTACTAACTTAATTCTACGGTTATAATTACTATAAACAATTTTGGAAATTTTTAAATAAATGCCATCTTTAGGTAACAAGCGTAAAGTTGTAAAAGTCAAAACAGTTTGGCAGCCATTTTTCGTTGTTTGATTTGTTGTGTGTTGTGGAAAGTGCAGTGCGTTTCCAAGCCGGTTTATTAAAAGAAAACCCTTAAAAGTGAGTAGAGTTTTGCTTAGTAGAGTTGAGTTGGATGGGGGCTGGTTTTGAAGTGGCGCCTGCCGTGCAGCTCCCTGGTTCAAACGCATTTTCCCTTAAAGTCCCTTGATAAGATAATTATTTTGCATTTAGCTGGTTTCCAGTTAAGCGTCGCGGACTTTCCGGTCTAAAATGCCTTTTATGGACTATTTCCAGCCCGGTTTTTCAGTTGTTTTGGATTTCCTATGTGTTTTTAACGTCCAGCTCTAATTGGATTGCGTCAAACACTCTTTGCATAAAATCCGGGTTTTTAAATTAAAATCCCCCAAATACATGCAAAAAGCGATGGCTTCGGCTTGAAGCATCGCCATTCAACCTCCAGCATCAAGGAAAAATGCTCCAAATTGGTTGTTTTTGCCGTTTTACCTTAACCTCAGACGGGGCCCCCTCACAGTCTCGATGCCTTGCCTGTCTCCTACGAGACGAGGATCTAGTTCTATCTTAACGCACAATGACTGGGCATATTAAAGAGGAAATTGCAAGCTCATTGATCTAGCAGAACCTGCTAACCGGGTTTATTAATTGCCTAAAGGGGAACCAACGCTCTAAAATGATCCGAGCTTTGCCTTGCCCGCATGTTATTTTGCTTTCAGTCGCTTCTGAGTACATTTATTCAGTCGGTTTAATTCAAGTGCTGTGGATTAAATAATGATAACAATGGTCAACTAAGTGATTGTTTGCAAAATAGCGCTAGATTTTGGTATATAAACAGCTAAAAGCCGAGTTGGGCTTCGCCCTTTTGTCAGATATCGGAAGTTGGAAGCCAAATTTCCAGCCAGATTGGGTTTTATCAGCAATTCCTAATCCCTAAGCAGATGGAATAAAAATGTCAACATTTAAGGGGTGGTCAGCTGAAAACGGTAAATCTCGGAAAGGGTTGGAAGTGTCCAATCAGTCATTAGCACCTTTCTGATAGCCCGCTTTGAGAGGTTTCTTTTCCTATTTGGGTTGCACCCAAAATTTCCAGCCGCTAAAGAGATAGAAGGAAAAATGCACCAGTGCAAAGTATCTCATGGTTGATAAGAACCTTTTCTATAGGGCGTTTTCAGAGCTATCATTTTCCCTTCACTGTTTTCTTTTCTATCTCGGTACAACGTTGAACGTTGTGCGGATATGAAAAAATGTGGTACTGATAACGCTTGATTAATAGAGCTTGATATTGCGCATAAATGCACATCTGAATTGAGCCTCAAAAGTATCATAAACCTGAATGTGAAATAATCGGAAATTGATATTGCGGTTAATCCACCAATGGTCGTTCCTACATTCTTGTGGTTGGAAACATTAGAATGTTTGCGGCTTAATAGTCGCTCAGCTTACAGAGTGGATCTTCCACATCTTTGTGCGATAAATTGACGCTCAAGTAGTTTATTTGAACTGTTCTATCAGCAAGCTCTGCTCGCATTTGTCGCCGTTATTCCACCACAATCTCGCCTTGTCACATACTTGACTACTTGAATAATTGGTAATTACCAGCCTTACAGTGCTGCTTTTTATATATAACTTGGATGTTTGTCGCCGTTTTTTAAGGATGGAGTCTGCGAACTGTGGGCTCTACTTTTCGCGCTCTGTATTAAATAATCTGGGCTTTATTAAGTGCTGGAAGGTCACAATGTTAACCTTCAGACTGTTACTTAATAAACTGCTCGAATGCCAATAGAAATACAGTTCCAGTCTTAATTCACTTCTGATGACGCGGTTTTTCCAATTAATGAGAGTTTTTCCTGGAAGATTCTAATCATGTATCTACGCCCTTTCATTTTCCTCAAAAAAACGGAGCTTATCTGGAAAATCATTACTCATAAATGGCTTAGCCGGATGCCCAGCCTTAATCACCAGCCTGTTTATTTCAGTCCCTTTAACGCCGCAGTGAGATCTAAACATAGTACCATCACCAAAGTGCCAAAGGTGTGGCGCAGTACCGCAACAGTACAGTGCTTTGTACATTTTCTCCCCTTCAACTCTATGCAAATGCGAGTTTTGTCTGGCAATTTTCAACTGGGAACATCAAAGTTCTCACAGATTCTTCTATGCGGCTGCATAGGTAGAGGCTAGTCAACGTAAGACTTGGGGAAAAAATCGCGCGTACAATTCCCAGTACATTTAAGCCTGTAGAATCCAACGATTCTACACGAGTTCTCAGTAGTTACAGGCCGAAGACCTCAGCAGACGCAATGGGAAAAACGGCACGTTATAACACGAGAAAATACGTATGTGACCGCGGCTTTTTAGGTGCGTTTTGAAAGCATCCTCTCAAACAGTTATCAGTATTGTTCCTGTTGGTTGAAAATCGGGGTTAAATAATCGAATGTTGTTGCAGAAATGGACACAGAAGTGCAGTCCACCACTCCGCATGAAAACGGCGGCTCAAAACCAGAAGAAAACGGTTCTGAGCCTCAGAAAGGAGAATCGGCGGCCATTGCTAGAAAGGAAGCGAAGCCATCACCCAAGCATCTGGTGATTCGGAAAACGCGAAGCCGCTCGCGAACGCCCCAGAAGAAGCGGAACAAAAAAAGCAGCGACGATGCCAAAGAAAGCGTGTTGAAAGCCGATGACAATGTGAACGGCCATCAAACCCGAAGCAAGCGAAACTCTGAACCCAAACCAGATCTGAGCGAGCTGGTTGAGGAAGTAGAGGACGCCGCCAAAGAAGAAGCAATCAACGCCAATCAGGAGCAGACAGTGTTAATTGAGGAGGTTCAGGTGGAGACTGAGACCGTAGTGGTCGAGTCCGAAGTGACCATCGAGAACAGCCCATCCAAATCCAATGAGGCCGTGGAAATGGAGACTTTGATACTGGCGTGCGATGAGCAAGATCCGGAGTTGCAGTTTGATGAAACTTCCGATATCGATTCCGTTCGAAGCTCGCCGATTCAAACGCGTTGCAAAACCCGCCGATCCACTCGCAACGCCTCTTTGACCAAGTCGCCCAAGTCTGCCACCGATTCGGAATCGGAGAAAATCTCCGCCGCCCCAACGCCTACTCCCGAAACCTTGACCGAGTCCTTGGATGAAGATGCCTCAACTCAGGCGCAAATCGGCAGCGACACCACCAGGTTGGAGTTCATGGAAAACAACACCTCCATTGTCTCAGAAGACTATGTGCCGAACTTCAACGACGCGTCCTACAGAGAGTCAATCGGGCGCGTGTCCGCCAGAAGAACCATCCGACCATTGAACGACTCCTACAGGCAGCGGGCGTTGAAGAACAGCCAGAACAGATCAGACTTGAACGCCTCATACCACAACTACAGCGCAATCGATGGCAATTTGGGGGTGAAAAGGAAGCGCAGCCCCTCGCCGGAGGACCGGAAAAAGTTCAAGGAGGACAACGCCAGTTTTGTCTCCTACTTGTCAAGTCCGTTGGGCAATTTCAAGCGAAGATTCTCAACGGATCTTAGCAGTAGTCCGAAACTTACCGCGTACAAAGACAGCAGCAATGACATTCATGAGGAGGAGGAGGAGGAGGAGTTGTTGCGGCCGCAAATTGGGTCGGAGGAGGAGAAGAAGAACAGGTGTTCGCTAATGTAAGTTGGAGTTTTCGGGCAACAGATGGATAATTGATGAACGTTCAGTCAAAAACTCAATGGAGTTTACTAATATTGCAAATTTTATGAATTGTGTCGTTTCCAGAAAAGCAGTTCTTGATATTCTATGTCCCCTGGATCATTAATCCAGGGCTTTGCATGAACGTTTTCTGTATACACTTATGTATTTTCGTTACATTTTGTAGTTAAAGCTATTTGATTTTTTATAATTAGGACAATTCGCTTATAATTTCACACCGTTTTTTCGACTGTCGGAACTTTAACATTAGACCATTTATTGTACTTGAATTGAGTGTAGTTAGTATCATATGTTTTCGTAGCATTTACAGTTTCTATGCACATGATTTGTGCATATGTTTGACATGATTAGAAGAGTTTGCTTTTAATAGTAATACATTCGGTTTTTTTACACCTTCAATCGTCTGTTTTTCCTTTAAATTTCCTTTTCCGCGTGGCAGTGTTGAACCCTCCACCACTGGTTTCCAGTCCGAATCCCAACAGTTTCCCTTGCATCGCATGCGTGAGTTTTCCGGCCAGCAAGAGCTTTGGCTACGCGATTTCCGTGTTCCCAGTTCACGAAATCCTCGAGGAAAACTCGCCGTTTTTGCCAATTTTCCTCAACACATCGGTCTGGGTGAGTATCAGCTCAACAAAACGCGAGTTTCACTGTGAATACGTGGTTTTGTACTGTGCGGTGATTGATTTGATTTGCTGTGATTAGGAAAACCGATCAAGGTGAGTGCTTTTACGAAACTATGGATGGGTTATCAAAAGAGATAGACTTTCGAGGCCATTCCTTGAAACTCATGGGTTTTTCGGGTTTTTAGGCCGTCGTAAAATGGAATTTCTTCGTGACGTTTCGCAAGCACGAGTGGCTTGCATCTTCAGAAGTGGTTTGCTTGAACGCTTACACTGTTCTCATCAGAACCCGTGCAGTTCTTCCGCAGAACTGAACGTGGGTTCTGATGAGAACAGTGTAAGCGTTCAAGCAAACCACTTCTGAAGATGCAAGCCACTCGTGCTT